ACTAGAACTGAACTAGAACTGAACTAGAACTGAACTAGAACTGAACTAGAACTGAACTAGAACTGAACTAGAACTGAACTAGAACTAGAAAACTGACTAGACTGACTAGAACTGAACTAGAACTGAACTAGAACTGAACTAGAACTGAACTAGAACTAAAATATAACTTTGTGTGAGCTGGACTAGATGGTGAAACTGCAACTTAATTAAATATTTTGGTTTTCTCCAAGAGAATGGAGCTGTCTTTCAGGAGATATACATATATTTTATACTTTATATTTTTTCTTTAAGAACAAACCATATCTCGCCGCATTTTATCGCTCTTAAACCATAAAGGTGAAATAAATTAACTAAAAACAAATTAATTCACTATGGACACCACATGAAACCAACCACTCCGCACAACCCCAATTCAGAGGAAACAAATAAAAAGCCAACGTTACAGTATTTGTCTGAACGTGTGTATCTTTATAGTTGAGTGTTGTAGATTGTTATCATTTTCGCACCTTTGGTAGCATATAAATCTACATATTACATATGACCGATGTGGCACAGGCACTTAGAGACACCACACCACATCTCTACCAATAAACAAACGTAATCCCCTGCCCCCTTTTTTCTCTTGCTAACAACGAAGAAGACTACTTACTATCTTTTTACACTCAGCACAATCGTGGTTATCAACATTATTTAAGCGATATGCAAATTGGTTTTTTGTATTTAATGGCACCCCATTACGTTTGAAGCGATGGCGGAGAAATCTCTTGTATTTTCCCCAGTTTTTGGCCAAAAACATACACATACACCTATCATACATATTTAGTTACATAAAGATCATAAAGGCCTTGCAATAAACTGATGTGGTTGGCTGATATCTGTAGCAAAAAAAAAATATATATATATAAAACGCACATATTGTAACCTGAGTGTTAGGCTGATAATGTCTGTTTTTTTGTCTGTTGTTCGTATCGTTTGTAAAACAATTTTTCAAATAAAAATCTAAGCGCTTTTTACATTAGTGTTTGAGTGCAGATATGTTTTGAAAATCTCTACAAAACGTGCAAAAATTGGTATCAAAACTAAGAAATCATTTTCATAGAGGAGGTGGAAAATCACGCAGAGCTTAACAACAGTTGAAACAAACTGATCGCCACATAATAAATGTAAAATGAAAGAAACAAAAACGATATACTCATAGCTGATTTTCCCCCACTATTGAATCTAAAATGAAAATTAAAATTGATTAAATTTGGAAGTAGGGCGACTTTACAATGCCCTATAGCTAGTTGTTTATTTAAGAAAATTTAACTGATTTATAACTGATCAGGAACAGAACTAGAACTGAACTAAAACTGAACTAGAACTGAACTAGAACTGAACTAGAACTGAACTAGAACTGAACAAGAACTGAACTAGAACTGAACTAGAACTGAACAAGAACTGAACTAGAACTGAACTAGAACTGAACTAGAACTGAACTGAACTAGAAAAACTAGAAACTGAACTAGAACTGAACTAGAACTGAACTAGAACTGAACTAGAACTGAACTAGAACTGAACTAGAACTGAACTAGAACTGAACTAGAACTGAACTAGAACTGAACTAGAACTGAACTAGAACTAAACTAGAACTGAACTAGAACTGAACTAGAACTGAACTAGAACTGAACTAGAACTGAACTAGAACCGAACTAGAACTGAACTAGAACTGAACTAGAACTGAACTAGAACTGAACTAGAACTGAACTAGAACTGAACTAGAACTGAACTGAAAAACTGAACTAGAACTGAACTAGAACTGAACTAGAACTGAACTAGAACTGAACTAGAACTGAACTAGAACTGAACTAGAACTGAACTAGAACTGAACTAGAACTGAACTAGAACTAGAAACCTGACCTAGAACTGAACTAGAACGAACTAGAACTGAACTAGAACTGAACTAGAACTGAACATAGAACTGAACTAGAACTGAACTAGACTGAACTAGAACTGAACTAGAACTGAACTAGAACTGAACTAGAACTGAACAGAACTGAACTAGAACTGAACTAGACTGAACTAGAACTGAACTAGAACTGAAATAGAACTGAACTAGAAACTGAAACTTAGAACTTGAACTTAGAGAACTGAACTACGAACTGAACTAGAACTGAACTAGAACGTGAACTAGAACTGCAACTAGAACTCTGAACTAGAACTAAACTAGACACTGAACTAGACTGAACTAGAACTGAACTGAATTTCGAACTAGAACTGAACTAGAAACTGAACTAGAACTGAACTAGAACTGAACTAGAAACTGAACTAGAACTGAACTAGAAACTTGAACTAGAACATGAACTAGAACTGAACTAGAACTGAACTAGAACTGAACTAGAACTGAACTAGAAACCTGACACTAGAACTGAACTAGCACTGAACTAGAACTGAACTAGAACTGAACTAGAACTGAACTAGAACTCTGAACTAGAACTGAACTAGAACTGAACTAGAACTGAACTAGAACTGAACTAGAACTGAACTAGAACTGAACTAGAACTGAACTAGAACTGAACTAGAACTGAACTAGAACTGAACTAGAACTGAACTAGAACTGAACTAGAACTGAACTAGAACTGAACTAGAACTGAACTAGAATGAACTAGAACTGAACTAGAACTGAACTAGAACTGAACTAGAACTGAACTAGAACTGAACTGAACTAGAACTAGAACTGAACTAGAACTGAACTGAACTAGAACTGAACTGAACTGAACTAGAACTGAACTGAACTGAACTGAACTAGAACTGAAGAACTAGAACTGAACTGAACTAGAACTGAACTAGAACTGAACTAGAACTGAACTAGAACTGAACTAGAACTGAACTAGAACTGAACTAAACTAGAACTGAACTAGAACTGAACTAGAACTGAACTAGAACTGAACTAGAATGAACTAGAACTGAACTAGAACTGAACTAGAACTGAACTAGAACTGAACTAGAACTGAACTAGAACTGAACTAGAGAACTGAACTAGAAACTGAACTAGAACTGAACTAGAACTGAACTAGAACTGAACTAGAACTGAACTAGAACTGAACTAGAACTGAACTAGAACTGAACTAGAACTGAACTAGAACTGAACTAGAACTGAACTAGAACTGAACTAGAACTGAACTAGAACTGAACTAGAACTGAACTAGAACTGAACTAGAACTGAACTAGAACTGAACTAGAACTGAACTAGAACTGAACTAGAACTGAACTAGAACTGAACTAGAACTGAACTAGAACTGAACTAGAAATGAACTAGAAACTGAACTAGAACTGAACTAGAATGAACTAGAACTGAACTAGAACTGAACTAGAACTGAACTAGAACTGAACTAGAACTAGAACTGAAATAGAACTGAACTAGAACTGAACTAGAACTAGAACTGAACTAGAACTGAACTAGAACTGAACTAGAAAACTAGAACTGAACTAGAACTGAACTAGAACTGAACTAGAACTGAACTAGAACTGAACTAGAACTGAACTAGAACTTGAACTAGAACTGAACTAGAACTGAACTAGAACTGAACTAGAACTGAACTAGAACTGAACTAGAACTGAACTAGAACTGAACTAGAACTGAACTAGAACTGAACTAGAACTAGAACTGAACTAGAACTGACCTGGAACTGAACTAGGACTGACTTCTACGTACTTCTCTTTTTGCTTTTGTAGGGTATTCGAAAACGCCTTTAAAAAATTAATGTTGCAGCAAAAAAACCTGCACCAACAACCTGTAATATGGTCGGTTACACTTTATGGCTCAAATAATGTTGAAAGCTCAACTTTATAGCTGCAATCGATGTTGATTTTTTTTTTGGTTAAATTCATTGTAGTTTTTCTTATAAATTTTTTGGCGATGAGCTGCACATGTTGCAGCACATGTGAACGTGATTTGTATTCAAATGTTTTAACGAAAAAAAAAAAAAAACAACCAACAGTAGATAAGCCTTAAAAGCAACAAATAACAGAAAAAATCTGTGCAGCAGGAGACAGTGGTTTGACAGGGGTTTTAGGAAAATCGGTATATAAAAGGATATTATTGGAAAATTTACAAGATTTGAGGAATGATTTGCGAGAGTGGATATAATTCAAAAAATGGTGCAATTTTGAGACTGTGGGTAGCATTAATGGGGTGTAAATGCACCACTGTCTCCTTCCAAAACCATAACAGCAATAATGGCAATAATAAAAAAATCTCCACAACTAACATCTTTGTTTTGTCATGAGATCATATTAAATCCCAAAGTAGACAAACAAAAAGCGATCAAAGCGATCTTTTTTTGCAGTGGAAATATGAAACCCTCTTTTTTGACTTAAACAAAGCCAAAACAGCTAAAGCCAAATACAACTCATATGTATGATTTATAAGCCAATAAAGGCTAAACATAAATCTTGACATTATGATTAAATATCACTAACAATAATGCAAACAAAATGGTAGAAAAAAAAAAATCACAATAAAATAAAACATTCACCAAAAAAAAACGCTATTGAACTAAACACATATTCGACTCGAAATCCTCTAAGTAGTTGCAATTGTTTAAAGATACCGTTGGTATATTTTCCTGACTTTGGCTTTCATGCTGCAGTTTCCTTTATAAGTTACAAATAGATTTTATCGTTATAAAAATCTGATCTAATTTGGTGTGCTTTGTACGAGAGAGTTTTTCTGTTTGTGTCTCCTGTTGTTGTTTCGTTTTTTTTTTTTTGTCTATTTGCGTTTTACAGCTGCAGTTTCTACTATTTGAGACTCTATTGCGTTAGAATAACTTTGATGTTTCATTTTGACCAAAAATGTACAACATTTGTAGAACCATTTTTGGTGCCGTCTTGTTGGTGATGAACTTGTTGCTGAAATCTATATATATTGTCTATAGGTTTTTGTTGTTTATATCATGTTGAGAGAGTGAGAGTATGAAGGAAAATAGAATGGTTAACATTTCAATACTTACTAATGAGATTTGATAAAGAAATGATCAATCTTTAAGAGATCATTATGTTTGGATTGTTGTGGAAAGTATGGAAGTAATTAGTTTGGTTTTGACATTAGATGTCATAATAAAGGAACATGGAATCTCTTAACAAAATAAAAGTAAATTGGAAATGCCCAAGTCAAACTATAACAATCGCTTTATGATTCTCCTGATGACTGAGAAACGAGAAATGATCTTTACATAAATTAATTGGGTGAAAACTGATCTCACCAATTACAATATGAAAGATAAATTATCCATATGTTAGAAAAAATCCTTCAATTTTCATTTACGTTTAGTAAAACCTCATACCTAGCTGAAAATTTTCATTCAGCTCAATTTTATCACCACAAAAACATTGTAGTATCAAACTGTTACGTTGGTTTGCAATTTTTCAATATCCCGCCGTTACATGGCTTGGATTACTCTAATTGCCGAAGCGACATGCGTTAAATATAGACAAACACTACAACTGTTAAGACGGAACTTCCAAACCAAGGCACAGTTAAGAAATGTCCAGCAGTAACCCAATAAGCCAAACCACAAAAGCCTGAAAAAAACAAAAAAATAAACAATGTTTAATGGTGTAAACGAAACTAAATGGAGACAAGACAACAACAACAACAACAAAAACGAAAGCAAAAGAATTCACAAAAGTAATGAAACGAATTGTAATGAAAGAAGTAGAAATAAAAAAAAACTTAAAATGCAACAACTTAACTCGACAATTAGCCGCCAATCAATACAAATCGCACATCAGGCTAAAACTCAAATTATACACATGAGCTTCGACACCAAAAAAAAAAAAAATTGCAGTAACAACAACAAATGTAATAAAGGAAAAGGAGAAACAATTAACATCAAAGTCGACTAAAAAGGTACTTTTTAGTATTTTTGTACTAAAAGTGCATATTTTGCATTTTTGTACTATAAAAGCTTATTTTGCATTTTTGTACTAAAAGTGCATATTTTGTATTTTTATAGTAAAAGAGCATATTTTGATTTTTTGTACTAAAAGTGCATATTTAGCATTTTTGTACTAAAAGTGCATATTTTTCATTTTTGTACCAAAAGTGCACATTTTACATTTTTTTACTAAAAGTGCATATTTTGTATTTTAGTACTAAAAGTGCATATTTAACATTTTTGAACCAAGAGTGCATATTTTGCATTTTTGTACTAAAAGTGCATATTTTGCATTTTTGTACTAAAAGTGCATATTTAGCATTTTTGTACTAAAAGTGCATATTTTGTATTTTTATACTAAAAGTGCTTATTTTGATTTTTTTACTACAAGTGCATATTTAGCATTTTTTACCAAAAGTGCATATTTTGCATTTTTGTACTAAAAGTGCACATTTTGCATTTTTGTACTAAAAGTTCATATTTTGCATTTTTTGTATTAAAAGTGAATATTTTGCATTTTTTTACTAAAAGTGCATATTTAGCATTTATGTACTAAAAGTGCATATTTTGCATTTTTGTATCAAAAATGTATATTTTGCATTGTTTTGCAAAGAAGTGCATATTTTGATTTTTTTACTAGAAGTGCATATTTTGTACTAAAAGTTCATTTTTGCATTTTTGTACTAAAAGTGCATATTTTGCCTTTTTTTACCAAAAGTGCATATTTTGCATTTTTTTTACTATATAAGCATATTTTGAATTTTTGTACTAAAAGTTCAAATTTTGCATTTTTGTACTAAAAGTGCATATTTTGCATTTTTCACTAAAAGTGCATATTTTGATTTTTTTTACTAGAAGTGCATATTTTGCATTTTTTACTAAAAGAACATATTGTCCATTTTTATACTAAAAGTGCATATTTTGCATTTTGTGCTAAAAGTGCATATTTTGTATTTTTAAACATAACGAAAACTGTCTTCCAAAAGAAAACACTTTTCTAGACGAAAACTGTCTTCCAAAAGAAGACACTTTTCTATACGAAAACTGTCTTCCAAAAGAAGACACTTTTCTATACGAAAACTATCTTCGAAAAGAAGACACTTTTCTATACGAAAACTGTCTTCCAAAAGAAGACACTTTTCTATACGAAAACTGTCTTCCAAAAGAAGACACTTTTCTATACGAAAACTGTCTTCCAAAAGAAGACACTTTTATATTAAAAATACACTTTTGTACCAGAAATACACTTTTGTATCTTAAGATAGAATCTGTTAGCTTAATTGCTAGCCCTCGATGAAATGGTGTAGGGAATCAAAATCATAGAGACCAAAATCAAAACAACATCAGTAACAACTATTAGAAGTTTATTTGACAATATACCAACAAACAGAGGGACACTTGGATGGACAGAGTGTAATCCATAGGAACAACAGCGGGGCAGAAAGGTGACTTAATAGATGATAGCTTGACTATTTGTTGGTTGGTTGAAACCAATTGAACATGGCTTAAAATTGCTGGTAATTGTAAAACAACAATTAACATTAAGCGCCATTTAAAAACACAGAAAAACAAATCGCAAAGAAAAAAAAAACTTCAACTAACAACGCAACACAAAATACAATTGTAACTACAATTGCTGACTACTAAAATCAAATGAAAAACTTAAACAAAACTGAACTAAAGCAATACAAACCAAAGCAAAGCAATTTTATACTCGTCTTGCAGATCTTACTTTTGACTAGGCCAACTGACATTTAATGTCACCATATAAAATTTGAGCTTACGAGAATGCGCGCGGTAACAAGAGTGTAAAAAGCAGCCAAAAGTATTTATAAGAAGAAGCAGAAATAAACGTGAATTGTCGCACAACTGCCAGCTGAGTCGCCAGCATGACCGCTGCGGCAAAACTAAAGTGCCAAAGAAGACAAAAGATGACAGCATTAGTTTGCCAATACCAAAAACCAAAAGAAACAAATAAAATAACAACAACCATACCATACAAAAAGAAAAGTTTAGTCTTGAATGTACGTTCAGGGGAGGGGAGTTTATGCTTAGCACATAACACTAAGGGAAATTTGTTAACCCTCTCTTTGTAAAAGAAACAAAAAAAAAAAACTACTCCAATAACAATTGCTATAATAGCCGTAGTAGTAAACGTAGTAAAAGAAGTCAGCAGTAGTATTGTAGTTGTTGTTATATGGATCAAAGAAAATTTTGCCGCTTTTTTCTTTACCGGTGTTTAACTGACGCTGCACCCAATTTGCCGCTGCTCAACATTTAGAACATATTGGCGTCATTGTATTTGACTTTTTGAGTTGTCTATCGCTAGCAAAACCTTAACTTTGTTTTAATAAAAACTCACCAAAGAAGAAGAAGATAAAGTACAAGCCAGTTGTGTAGAATAATACAAAGCTTTTTGTGTTTTTTTATTGTTCTTGTTATTTTCATAGCTTAAATGTTAAGAATCATTTCTAGCCAAAACGTCCACCAAAGTAATTTTTGTATATAAACGACAGTTGTAACTATTATCTACGTGGTGGCAGCAGAGAGCAGCAACGGCAGCAAGTTGCATGTGACTAAAAGACCCACGAGGAATTTTAACTGATGTGGAGATGACTAACGGCAAATAAATAAATTCTAGTTCTGTTCTAGTTTTAGTTCTTTTCTTGTTTAAGTTCTTCTTTTAGTTCTATTTTAGTTCTATTCAAGTGCTGTTCTAGTTCTGTTATAGTTCTATTCTAGTTCTGTTCTACTTCTATTCCAGTTCGTACTGTCGAAATCATTGCATAAAAATTAAATAAAGGGAACTTTCATAACGAAAGACTTAAGACACATACTTGATGCATGTTAAAGTGTAAAATACGATATTTCATAACAAATAGTACATAAAATTTGGAGAGAGAATAGATTCAGTTCTGGTTATATGGTTCTGTTCTAGTTCTGTTCTAGTTCTGTTCTAGTTCTGTGCTAGTTCTGTTCTAGTTCTGTTCTAGTTCTGTTCTAGTTCTGTTCTAGTTCTGTTCTAGTTCTGTTCTAGTTCTGTTCTAGTTCTGTTCTAGTTCTGTTCTAGTTCTGTTCTAGTTCTGTTCTAGTTCTGTTCTAGTTCTGTTCTAGTTCTGTTCTAGTTCTGTTCTAGTTCTGTTCTAGTTCTGTTCTAGTTCTGTTCTAGTTCTGTTCTAGTTCTGTTCTAGTTCTGTTCTAGTTCTGTTCTAGTTCTGTTCTAGTTCTGTTCTAGTTCTGTTCTAGTTCTGTTCTAGTTCTGTTCTAGTTCTGTTCTAGTTCTGTTCTAGTTCTGTTCTAGTTCTGTTCTAGTTCTGTTCTAGTTCTGTTCTAGTTCTGTTCTAGTTCTGTTCTAGTTCTGTTCTAGTTCTGTTCTAGTTCTAGTTCTAGTTCTGTTCTAGTTTTGTTCTAGTTCTGTTCTAGTTCTGTTCTAGTTCTGTTCTAGTTCTGTTCTAGTTCTGTTCTAGTTCTGTTCTAGTTCTGTTCTAGTTCTGTTCTAGTCTTTCTTAGTATTAGTTCTGTTCTTGCTTAAGTTCTTCTTTTAGTTCTATTTTAGTTCTGTTCTAGTGCTGTTCTAGTTTTGTTATAGTTCTATTCTAGTTCTGTTCTACTTCTATTCCAGTTCGTACTGTCGAAATCATTGCATAAAAATTAAATAAAGGGAACTTTCATAACGAAAGACTTAAGACACATACTTGATGGGTGTTAAAGTGTGAAATACGATATTTCATAACAAATAGTACATAAAATTTGGAGAGAGAATAGATTCAGTTCTGGTTATCTAGTTCAGTTCTAGTTCTGTTCTAGTTCTGTTCTAGTTCTGTTCTAGTTCTGTTCTAGTTCTATTCTAGTTCTGTTCTAGTTCTGTTCTAGTTCTGTTCTAGTTCTGTTCTAGTTCTGTTCTAGTTCTGTTCTAGTTCTGTTCTAGTTCTGTTCTAGTTCTGTTCTAGTTCTGTTCTAGTTCTGTTCTAGTTCTGTTCTAGTTCTGTTCTAGTTCTGTTCTAGTTCTGTTCTAGTTCTGTTTTAGTTCTGTTCTAGTTCTGTTCTAGTTCTGTTCTAGTTCTGTTCTAGTTCTAGTTCTGTTCTAGTTCTAGTTCTGTTCTAGTTCTAGTTCTGTTCTAGTTCTGTTCTAGTTCTGTTCTAGTTCTGTTCTAGTTCTGTTCTAGTTCTGTTCTAGTTCTGTTCTAGTTCTGTTCTAGTTCTGTTCTAGTTCTGTTCTAGTTCTGTTCTAGTTCTGTTCTAGTTCTGTTCTAGTTCTGTTCTAGTTCTGTTCTAGTTCTGTTCTAGTTCTGTTCTAGTTCTGTTCTAGTTCTGTTCTAGTTTGTTCTAGTTCTGTTCTAGTTCTGTTCTAGTTCTGTTCTAGTTCTGTTCTAGTTCTGTTCTAGTTCTGTTCTAGTGTTCTAGTTCTGTTCTAGTTCTGTTCTAGTTCTGTTCTAGTTCTGTTCTAGTTCTGTTCTAGTTCTGTTCTAGTTGTAGTTCTGTTCTAGTTCTGTTCTAGTGTGTTCTGTTCTGTGCTAGTTCTGTTCTAGTTCTGTTCTAGTTCTGTTCTAGTTCTGTTCTAGTTCTGTTCTAGTTCTGTTCTAGTTCTGTTCTAGTTCTGTTCTAGTTCTGTTCTAGTTCTGTTCTAGTTTCTGTTCTAGTTCT